ATAGATAGCATATATAAAAGTCACATGCAAAGGAATGCGTTTACATGATTGATTTTATTTTTTCGTTAGGCGCGATTGCGCGTAAGGTAAGTGATTGGTGGATTGTTTGAAAGCATAAACTGACATGAGTCTTAAGTGAATAATGTGATTCAAAACGACCAAAGCATGTTGAGAGGAAAAAAAAATCGCTACCAGGCATGGGACGAGCAATTTTAAGTATATATACAAATAGTTGTATCTATGTTGTATACCCAGTTTTCATTTCGTAACTCCCTTGCTTCTGAGGCTTTAATGATCACAAATATCTAGCATTGAAAGTTACAGTATGTCAATATTTCACACTAATTACGATCATTCAATGCCACAAATAAGCAACACTGAATTTACCGTAAAATTACTGCAATGATAGTTGAAATAATTCATGTTCATGTTACCATATGCATATATTCCCTAACACAGCGTTGGTAAGAGAAACTAATGACAACCGAAAGCGGTAGTTAATGGCTTGTAACGGATAGATTCCGATTATCATCATTACAGTAATTACGAATATTCAAGACATCACAAGATATTTATATCACGCACGTTTTTACAGCAATCTGGCTTGATTGAATAAATAAATTTGACCCCAAAAATGTGCGAAATACGAAAGGAAGAAAATGAGATCAAAACACATGATATACTTAAAGATAAATTAGACACATTTTTGCATCTACACTATTTATGTGAGTTAAATAGCAATGACGAATATTACCTACGAAAATCAGTAATCAAAGTTGTCAAATTGTTTCCTTTTTCTGCGTACTGTTCCCCAATGTACTTGATTTAATGGATATATGCTGAGCAGAAGGTATATTGAACAATGCAATGTCTCTCCCCATAGACACGCAGAAAAACCACACTCTGAAAGAAAACCATTACGTATGGTCAAATAGCACTGTTTCTAATATCACATTTTTGTCCTGTCTGAACGTAAATGCATGTTACGCTTTCGATCATCAATCGAGATCTTTACGTTATACGTACAGCGTAATAATTTTTAAACGGGTGTTGGTAACAGAAACTGACATGATTTTTATCAAAAATAGAATCATATGCGTGGTGCTTCAATTCATGCTTCTTTATTGATATTTCGTTCATAGATTGATTTACAGATATTTTGATGGCAGACGAAGAGGCGCAGATTCCAGGCATTTTAACAGTCCTGGGATACTTGGAGAGCAGCAATCCTCTCATGCACCTTGCCCTCCAAAAATTCATTGTCGAAACAATGGAGGTAGATT